TCCCTAATCTAGACAAACCCTCAAAGAGGGGCCAAGCTCTACTGACTACCCAAACTAAACCTGACTGGAACCTCGTCACAGGACTGAAAAGGTTGGCTTTGCTTTTGAAACAGCTGTTCTCATGGCCAGACCAGAAGAAAGAAGTCCGGGTCTTTCCAGACAAAACCCCAATCTCAGGAGATTTCTAGCCTAAACTCAGGAGATCATGCCAGGAATTATTCTTTCTGCTCAGAACTGCACTAAACAAGGGCAGCCAAATACTCTGTGGCTGCCATTGAAATGACCCCAACCCAGAGACACTGTCCACCTGCAATGTGGTGTGTGAGGGAGATTTAAATGTGTTGAAGGGGGTGTGGGTCTGGAATATGCCAAAAGGATAAAAAAGAACAACAACATTGCCAGGAAAACCTCGCTTTACACCTCGTCTGTCTCCTCTCTCCAACACTGTATGTTTTCAAAATTAAAATAAGCAATGAAAAATCTGGTGCACTTTACTAGGCAAAACCTGCCATAGGTTAAAAATAAGATGAATGTATAGCCAAGCCCTTCATCCAAAAAGCAAAAGGGATCAGAAATGGGAGAAGAAATAAGCATCTCAGCACAAGAAGCCAGCAGGTAGCCATTAACAAAGAGTTAAGCTCAATGAATAATTTACTAGGGTAACACCACTGAGACTTTGCTAGCCTTTCAAAGCCGTATTTCCTAGAAATGTTCCCTCCCACTCCTTCCTCACTTGTACACTGGGAAATTTTAATTGCTTCTTGTAATACAAAGATGTTTGCAAAGATTTAAAGACTCACCTGGGCCACTCCAAAAACAACAAGGAGTCCGGTGGCTCCTTAAAGACTAACAAACTTATTAGGGCATAGGCTTTTGTAAGCTACAACTTACTTCCTCAGGTGCTTGAAGTGAAAGAAAGGCAGGGATGCAGAGGTGGGAGTGTAATATTCGTGCTAATTAAATCAGGGTGGAAGTGGCTCACCTCCAATAGTGATGAGAAGGTGGCCACTCCAAAAACAACAAGGAGTCCGGTGGCTCCTTAAAGACTAACAAACTTATTAGGGCATAGGCTTTTGTAAGCTACAACTTACTTCCTCAGGTGCTTGAAGTGAAAGAAAGGCAGGGATGCAGAGGTGGGAGTGTAATATTCGTGCTAATTAAATCAGGGTGGAAGTGGCTCACCTCCAATAGTGATGAGAAGGTGAGAGTATTCCATGTCTGTTCCAAGAATAGTCCAATTGCTTTCTGAGGCCTATATCTCATCTCTGGGTATGTCTACACTACCCTCCTAATTCGAACTAGGAGGGTAATGTAGGCATACCGCACTTGCAAATGAAGCCCAGGATTTGAATTTCCCGGGCTTCATTTGCATGAAGCCAGCTGGCGCCATTTTTAAATGCCGGCAGTTCGAACCCCGTGCCGCGCGGCTACACGTGGCACAGAGTAGCTAGTTTGGATTAGGCTTCCTAATCTGAACTATCTGTACTCCTCGTGGAATGAGGAGTACAGCTAGTTCGGATTAGGAAGGGTAGTGTAGACATACCCTCTGAGAAGCAGGCAACGCTGGATGCTTTGGAGCAGTGTTTCTCAACCAGTGGTACGAGTACCCTTAGGTGTACTCAAGAGAATAAAAAATAAATAAATAAAAAATAAGAAGTCTGGGAGGTACGTCAACACAACTGAAATTTGGAGAAAATGGAATTTTTGTTTTAAGTTTTTCAGCACTTTATTATTTTTGTACTTTTTACACCCAAAAATTTCATCGCCCACCTGGCTACAACTAAGTTGTTTAAACAAATGTGTTGCAATGGTAGAAATTTTTTTTGTGTGTGTCTGAAAACTGTAGGTGTTGGGGGGTACTTAAATTTTTTTTTAAAGGGTACTTTATAAAAAAAGGTTGAGAAACACTGCATTGGAGGAATAGTACCTAACAGCGCAATACTATACAAAGTCGGGCATTTTGCATAACCCATTCCCCTGCAGATTTGGCAGACTGTCTCCAGAGAAATTTCCTTTTGACTTTCAAGAGCTAGAGGTTGAAGCATCAGAGTTACATCACTTCCTTAAATTGTGTTTTTTCTTTCAATATTCACTATGGTAAATATGGATGTTCTTTAATCCATATAAATGTCTAATTCTTTATTCAATCTTGCTTGGTTATTGTCCTGTGACATGGATGAGATGACCTCTTCTGGTCCCTTCCAGCTCCATAGTTCTATAAGTCTGTATCATGTGGCAATAAGTTCCATAGTCTAATCAGACACTGAGGGTGCATCTACAACTGCAACGTTTTTCCAGAAAAAAAAAACTTACGTCCACACTGCCATTGAGTTCTTTTGACAGAAAGTTGAAAGAACAGAGGGGTTTTTCTGATGGCGGTAAACCTCATTCTATGAGGAAGAAGCCTTTTTCCAAAAAAGCTTTTTTGGAAAAAGGCACGTATGGAAGCAGAAGAGGGAGTTCTTTCGAAAGAAGAGGCCTCCAGGAAATAACACAGGTGCCCTGGTGGCCACTCTGTCCAGAGTAAACACAACTTAAATGCAAGATTGCATCCAATCAATGTGGACGTTATCTTTCAAAAAAGCACATCGCTTTTCCATTGCACTTTTGCTGTGTGGATGCTCTCTTTCAAAATAAGCTTTTCCGGGTGCTCTCTTTTAAAATAAGCTTTTCTGGAAGATGTAGCCTGAACGAAACAATATTTTCTTCTGTCTATGACTATCCCCTAGTTCTTGTATTTTGAGAGAGGACTAATAGAAATTCCTGATCTGCCTTCCCCAAATACCAGTCAGTATTTGGTATACTTTTAGCAGTGTTTTACACTTTGTGTTTGTTTATTTTGAGGGTCTGTCATTCATTCACCACAGGAAACTCAAGTTTTACCACTCAATCAGTGACGCTACCAACTTGGCAATGCTTCTTTATGTCCTAAACTCCTAAGGATCTCTGTTTGTTTGCAGTAAAAGATCTCTTAATTAGGCAGTTGTTCCATACCTGTTAATACCCCATTTTCCCCTCTGGATCTAGGGAAGTTCATTCTTTTTGGTATTCAGATAAGCCCTAGTGAGATTACCTAGCAAGGTTGCACCTTCTGAACAAGATCCATTTGTTGATTACTAGGAATAGGATCATACTCTCAGTACACTACTGGACTAGGCTATTTCTCTCTCAAGACACCGGGCAAACTATTCTGTGACCCTCAGAAATACTGATTTCACATTTGCTGTTAGGGACTAAATTCTGTTCTCCATTACACTTGTGTAAATGTTGAGTAAATCTGTTGCCGTTTCTCTGGATTTGCACTGGTAGTACTGGTATTAGAATTTCTCAGTGGGGGAAAATCCAGTAAAATACATAGAGTTTTGTGGATACCCTACACCAGGAAACTACAATATTTTAGCAAAATGCCTTATTGCTCGACTTCAGAGTACGGACACAATTGGAAATAGCTTTTCTGGCTGTTACATGGAGAACCTTTGTCCCACTACAATCTCAGCTGGGGCTTGAGGCGTTTCCTTTCCAATACTACTCATCGTTAACTTATTCTGTCCCCAGCATCCTTCAAAGCCTGAATCGCATCTGCACTTCCTCTGGTTGACGAAAGGTTTTGGCGCCTGGGGAAGAAGACATAGCCAATGTTTTGTTGCCAGTAGACTATCGAGCTAATCCTGAATAGTGCTGTCTCCTGTTAAGCTGGAGCAAAGCTGCGTAAAGTATATGTCATTCCTTCAAGGCCCTTCTGTTTCCAGCTTGCAGTGTCTGTTTATGGGCCATATGGAAACACTTTGGATGACTTTGTTAATCATTCACTCCCTAGCTGTGTTTGAGTTAATTGTTTGCTAAAACTATTAACATGTATGTGTTGAAGGATGCCTTTGGACTCTTAAAACAGTGGGAGCATCTCACCAGAACAACAGAGACACGCCTATTGCTGCTACAGTCACTCAAGCATGCACTATTCACTACCAGAGAGCCACCGGCCACAGCCTCACCACTTCTGTTTGATCAAATGCCGCTGGGAGCTCTTGGAACACACTGGGGATAAAACTGACTCAGCTGAACAAATGCCACTCACAGACCTGACAGTTTCCAAGTGGCACTGTGATGACCATGCTCTTCATAGTCCAACTGCTATTTAATTTCAGAAGAGTGCAAAAAATGAAGCACCCCTTCCTAATACCTAATTTATACCAGCTGAAGAAATGGCTCAAAATATTGTGCTGGTTTTAGCATGAATTCAATGCCAAGAAAAAGTACCAGCCTATTTAAATCCTGGGATGGTGGGTGGGGCCCATCAAAGCAATGAAAGATCTGCCTCTCAAGAAGTGGGAAGGGCCAAAGGAACTGAGATGGGTGACAAGAAATGATCCAGCAGAGACAGGGGTGCACACAGCCCTGGAGACTGAAATCTTACGTTTGTACCCAGAACAGGTACAGCACTGGTTTTGGAAGCGCAAGCTTCCCTAGATCACTCTGCCTTAGCCCAGAGCTGGAGGGACAGCCTCAGGGAGTGATAAGGGAGTGAACTCTCCATATTCATTATGCCCTTGCCCTCTCTTCTGGAAATGCAAACAAGGGTACCAATGAGGGATAACGGCAGTGATGGTGATTGTCATGCAAATGCATGTGAATTAGGAATTGTCTGAGATCACCACATTCATTTCATGCCGATCACTCAACAGTCATCAGGTAACGATTTTCAAGCTACTTCTAGACTACAAAGAAAAGTCAGAAAAAGATACACAAATTGCAAACCGCAGTTTGTGTATCTTTTCCCGCTTTTCTTTCAAAAGAGGTTTTTCCAAAATTTGGCACATCTACATGGTGCCAAATTTAAGAAAAACCTGCTCTTTTGAGCCATCCCTTCTTCCTCGTAAAACGAGGTTTACAGGGATGGCGAAAGAACGTGTCCACATTTCTGAATTTTTTTTCGGAAAAGCAAATTCATTCCGTGTACGTAATTTTTACTAAGTACGTGGTATTACTTTTCGAAAAGGGCTGTAGTCTAGACATAGCCTCAGTCTTTGCAGACCATATCTTCATTTGAACCCATAACCCAGAAGAGAAAAAGCTTCATAACCTACTGCCAGTGCTTAATTTGTACCAGGACTTTCCAGGGCTGAGCCCTGGTACCTCTCTGGTTGGCAGTACAGAGGCCTGGCACCTCTTGCCATGTCAGTTACGAAAGTTAAAAAAAACAAAAACAAAAACCCTGCATGAGCCCCAGCACCACTTTCATTACAAATTAAGCACTGCCCATTGCCAATCCTCCAAGCTAGCTACTTACTCCAAAGCTACATCTAGACTGGCATGATTTTCCGGAAATGCTTTTAACTGAAAAGTTTTCCGTTAAAAGCATTTTCGGAAAAGAGCGTCTAGATTGTCATGGACGCATTTCCGCAAAAGCACTTTTTGCGGAAAAGCATCCGTGGCCAATCTAGACGCGCTTTTGCGCAAAAATGCCCCGATCGCCGTTTTGCGATTGGGGCTTTTTTGTGCAAAACAAATCTCAGCTGTCTACCCTGGCCCTTTTGCGCAAAAGTTTTGCGCAAAAGGGACTTTTGCCCGAATGGGAGCAGCATAGTATTTCCGCAAAAAGCACTGATTTCTTACAGTAGGAAGTCAGTGCTTTTGCGGAAATTCAAGCGGCCAGTGTAGACAGCTGGCAAGTTTTTCCGGAAAAGCGGCTGATTTAACTGGCCAGTCTAGACACAGCCCAAATGTAAATCAGAGAAACAGAGGAGCAGAGGAAGGAAGAAGAAGATTTGGAGTGAACGCTAGTTTAACTGCACTTTAGAGTTTCCAGTAATTCAAAGCATACACAGGAGGGTTTTAAAAGCACAGACACATACAGCTCCATAGTACACTAAGGGCTATATTCCTATTTAATATCCTTGCACTCGTACACTTGTGGGATAGTCAATAGCCAGACTGCAGGTCAAATACAGACTGCCAGATGCTCTTGAACAGACCCCAAACTCTTTTTATTTACTTATCATCGTTACGGTTATTTTTTTTATTATTTTCTCTGTAGTCTGGACCTTGGCTATATCTTGACCAAGAGATTTGGACCTTGACAAAAATAACTGACTATCCCAATACTGTATGCCAGAGACTGAGCTCTGTTGCAACCCCAATGATGACAATGGAGTTACTCTGGATTTAAAATGGTGCAAATGAGAGTGTTGTCTGCCTAATTCATCTCTCTGACCTCATCAGACCTGCTGACAAACTTAGGGGTCCACTGACTTATTGCCGACTTATTCCTGCCATTTAATAAAAAGTTGGTTTTGACTGAATACTAATGGACTCACAGGCAATAGACTCAAGGAGCCAGTGTGGATTACAGTTCTACTTGCACACACAATAAGCATGGGAAACTGTCTCAGATGACATAATAGGAAAACATTACAATCTCCCTTATAAGACAAGCGAGGTTTTTATATGCATTTAATATACATTTCTTGGTTTCAGCTGGTTCCTCGCCACAATTTTCTGCCTGTGCATTTTCCAGAGAGATTTTTTTTCCATTGTAATTTTTCAATTTGTCCTTAGTCTTGGCATTGCAGAGAAACTGAATGAGAAAGATAAAAAAAGCCATAAGCTGCAGCCTTTCCTCCTTACACACTTTGCTTTACATTCACAGGTTCTTTGCAGAATGTGTTTTTCCCCTGTCCTCGGAAAACATGAATCAACCTCTGCTGGCATGGAGAGGTGAATCAGATGCCACAAGAGAGGCCCAGATGCCATAGTGATGGGTGCAATTTAAAACCCAACTAGGCAGAACAAAAATTGTGCCACAATGAATCAACAGGGGTTGCTCTAACCAGAGAAGTTTTCTGACTTAGGCTTTCTACTGTGCCAGGGTAAGAGAGCTTTAAATAGCATTGGGGGATTCACATGCATCCTCATCCCACCTAATTATGCCTTCCTCCTGCTACGCTGCTCATCTCAGTGCTGTCTTCATTTCCTCTGGTGGATGGGGTTTGCCTGACATAATCCATTGAGGAATCATCAAGCCTGCACGTTCCAGAAGCCAAGATTTGCGATTACACCCTCTCAGCCACAGAGCCCTATGTTTCCAAGCAAGGCAGCATTTCTGTCATGGGCACCATGGATTTCATGCAATACACAAAACTGCCCATTTGCCAAAGTGAAAAACAACCATCTCAGCAAAAACAACACTCGCTCCAAACTCTCGGCCAGTTTTTCTTGCTTACTGCAGTTGCTCAGAGGAAAGGCTGGAAGGTATATATGGCCCAGCTTGCTGCAGGAGGGAGAAGAGGGCAGGAGGCAAGTAGGGTTAGGGCCACGGTTGTAGCCAGCTAATGAATTTTGGGGCTGAGCAGGCAGACAAGACAAGGGAGAGAAAGAAGACAAAGCATGGGAGAAAAGGAGGCCTGACTTTCCCCAAAAGAACAGCACCGTTGCCTCAAATGGAGGCACAGGGTTTAGGAATCTCCTTGTCTTTTGATTCCTCATGCTGATTCTCTCTATCGTCCTTGCTTTTCCTCCAACCCTATCATAGGAAGCAGGGAGGAGCCCTGGAAGAGAAGTTTCTGCAGCTGACCTTCACTTTTGGAAGCAGATTCTAAGAGGAGGTATCTATTGGGGATTTGGCGCCGATGTAACTGTACGAGTGCAACCCCTTCAGTGTAGACACACTGTAAACCATCACTTGCATGACTGTGGCTTACCCTCCAAGCAACGATTTATCCCAGCGCAATGCATCTGCACTAGGAACTCACAGGTGCATCTCTAGTGGCATAGTCACTCCCTGTGCGAAATACCTCCCCAACAAAGACAAGGCCTGATTAACCAATATTTATTCTGATCTCTGCAGCATGTGTTCTGTTTTCCACCATGGACAACATTTCATTTTATCATAACTACAAAACTGCATGTGATCACCAACTCCAAACCAATTTGAACGAAGAGGAGAAAGGCTGTTCCAGATTGGACAAATGGGTGACTGAGAAAGAGCCATTTGGCACAGAAACGATGCAATAAGAAATGAAGAGTTCTTAATTTAATGGGAGCATTTACGTCTGCTAAGGAGCTGTTCTGGGAGCTCAGCTGTGCACTGCACCCTGGAAGCAAAGCCAGAATCTGCAGCTTTTGGATTGCTCCCTGGTTTCCCTAGTAGAACCATTATTGTTGCTAGTTGATGTTGTGCGACAGTCTGTGGAACAGGACTGAAAGGTGTGCTGTTCTGCATTTGGTTGAACTGCTAAGGAATAAACACCAGGGCATAACACCAGAAAATGGGAGTCTACATAGGAAAAAGAGCTCATCTGATCCAAACATTCCTTCTGAAGAAGTTCTGGGATATTTAAGCTGATTTATTAAAATTTTTTGCCTGGTAATTTGGGCTGCCCCCAGCTCTGGGTGTGTAATGTGAGACATTTCAGAGGGGCCTGATTTTCAGAAAGTGCTGAGTGCCTCTTCTCTCAAAACCAGTCCCCTTTAAGAGGTCTCAAATTGGGCACCCAAAGAGGAGGTGCCCAGCCTGGCTCGTCACTTGGAAGAACGTAGGCATGTAGGCCACGCTTGTGCTCTAGAACAAAGTGACTTGCAGGTAATGCCTTGACTTGTGGTGTTTTTCACAGCAGAGGTCCCAAACATGATGAAGCACAAGTAGGAATGCTTTTCATCCCTTTCTTTAGCTGTGAGATGAAGCATTTTTATCACTGTTTGATTAATTCTGGCCCTTATTCATTTAAATATCAAAGAGAATCTGGCCCCTTATAATTTGCCGTTTTGCTCCCTGAAACATGATGCTTTTTGCCCTGAGAAGGAGAAACAAAACCCAAAACAACCACCCCCCTATGCTCTCACCCTTATTTATATGACTCCAGCTCTCTTTTCTTCTCTGATCATTTACTGCTGGAACAAAAGCCCCACTCCTGTGAGCAACTGAACATCCTCACCTCTAAGTGAAGCCAATAGGGCAGAAGGTGCTCAGCACCTTGCAGGATCAGGCCCTACGTTCCCACTTATGCCTTTTGAGGAACTGGGTCAAGCCAAGATGAATCTAATAGCTGAAGCTGCTGCATTTAACCAGGGTCATTTTTTTCCCCCAGTGCTACAGCACTTCAGAAAAGCAGGGGCAAGTTCAGCATATCAGCTTTCTACAGCTGCTCAGGCAGCGTTGAGAAAAACTCCTTCTACCCTCCTTCACAGGCCTTACACATCAGGGCTATGGCTCAATGCCTGGGTTCAGCGCCTTTTGTGCTGCCCCTCAGTCTGTAACGCAAGAGGTGAACACGTTTCCGAACGGCAAAGAACACACACTTACCTTTCTTGGTTTCACCTTGTCATGGTAGTCGTACTGAAAAATGCCCTTGTAGCTAAGTCCTAACCACCAAGGAATTCCCTGCTTGTCCTAGGAGATAAAAGAGAGGGAATGATATTGAATGGGAACATTCCAGACTCTCTCTGGAAGGACAGTGGGAGGGGGCACTGGTGCCCAAATCATGCCCTCACCCCCGCACCGCCCCTTCCCCCGAAACCCCATTCCCATGCCATCCTTTCTCCCCAGACCCCCATCCTCGCACGGCTCCTTCCCTTAAGGCTCCGCCCCTGCACCACCTCTGCCCCGAGACTCCACCCCCACTTCCCTCTTTCTCCCAAGACACTACCCCCTCTTGCTCTTCTCTGCCCCTCCCCGCCATCGCACCCTTACATCTGGTTAACAGTGGTGGTGTTTGGCCCTGATCTTCTCTGTTCAGTCCCCCCTGCTCCCTGGCCCACTATTCAAGGGAAGGCTTTTTCTGTGACAGGCATCATCCCACACCATGCCAAAAGATCCTTGGGTCATAAAGATCTCGTGAACATGAAGAAGATCCCTGGCATTTTTGTTTCGGGCATGTAATAAAAGTTTACGGAATGCACCGAATTGCATCAAGTTACTAAAACATCACCCCCGGGAAGGATCTCCTTTGTTCCCTGTTGCAATGGTTCATCCTCTCTGCTGCCCCTCCTCCTGCAAATGTCTCAGTCTGAACACGGCCTCGTTGGCGGGGATGAAACCGAATAGCCCAGCTGAGTTGAAGTATGCGTGGGAATCCTGGCAGGAGTCGATAAAATGCAGTGCTAATGGGATCTGATGGCTACCAAGTGATGAGATCTGACAGACTTGGACCCACAGGCTTTTTGAATGTGCCATAAAACTGTTTTATGGAGTAATGGCTGATATTTGAGACAGGCTCCGTTTAGGTTTAGTGAACTGCAACCCTCAGTGAAACTAGTGCAATTTGCCAAGATGCTGGAGAAGGGCAGTGAGGAAAAATAGCAAAACCAAAAGTCAAATGGTGAAAAATGACTCTACTTTAGCAGCAACATCTAGGTTGCTCATGAAGGGCACACGCCAAAGTCCATTGGCTGTGAGCTGTTCACTGGACTTCGCTGGGCTAGTCTGTGTTCGCTGGATTGTGCCTGGCAGCTGGGAAGTATGATTCCCAGCATGGGCAGACAGACTCCCTTTAGCTCAGTGTGAGCTGGCAGGCTAAAATGGCAATGTGGATGTTGCAGACATGAGCTTGGATTCACAGGGTCAGGTGGGCTTGTATTCGGATGGCCAGCCTGAGCTTCCATCCCTGAAGCAGCATCTAACTGGTCTACCCATTCTGGGAATCACACCTCTCAGTTATAGTTTAGCCATACCTTTAGGCTATGTCTATACTGCACTGCTTTGCACAAGAAATATGCAAATGAGGCAAAGCGTGGACTATCACTGCACCTCATTTGCATAATTAATGAGCGGCCACTTTTTGTGCAAAAGGCTTTTGCGCAAAAAGGAGCTGTCTACGCGGCTCTTTTTTGTGCAAAAACCCACTCTTGCGCAAGAGCCGTTCTTCCTGAAAAAAATGTGGACGAATGGCTCTTGCGCAAGAGGCGTTTTTTGTGCAAAAAGGAGCTACGTAGACAGCTCCTTTTTGCGCAAAAGCCTTTTGCACAAAAAGTGGCCGCTCATTAATTATGCAAATGAGGTGCAGTGATACTCCACACTTCGCCTCATTTGCATATTTCTTGTGCATAACAGCGCAGTATAGACATAGCCCCCGGGTCTGATCCAAAGCTCACAGTGCAATACTTGCTAGCTGACAACTGACGCACACTCACCAATCGAGAGGAGTTCACTGCAACAACCCTCAGTAGGAAGCCCTGTGTACACACCAGCAAGTGTTTGTAGGCCTGGGCACCAAACCCCAAGCCATTTCATGCAGCTTCTGCCCTCTGAAGTCAATGGAAGCTGGGTGTGCAGAAGGGCTGGGGGACCCTGCCCTATGACAAAGGATGGGCAAACCATTTCAGGTCAGCAAGATATAGCCAACAGAGTCCTACTATCTGACTTATGGCTGCCTTTCTTTGAATACTGGGTGTAGGGGGAATGGGCCTGGAAAATCACAGTTAAGATATTTATTGTTAAATTATTTCAACTGCATCATAAGTGTGCAAGACACTTTGCAGTGTACAAGAAAGTACCTAAACTCCATGGGTGATGAGCAGGGGGAATGCTCCAGGGAGAGTAAATCTAGCTTACTTTTTATGTTTATTGATAGCACCTGTTAAAAATTTCCACTGCTGGGCAGGCCTAGAAGCGATAGCAGCGAGATCATGAGCACACCTTGGTGGCAGACTGCTAGACAAATGGAGTGAGCCCAAAGGAGGGATTTAATGAGGGAGAATCCCAGCATGAAATCCAATCAGAAGACTGCAAGCTGGAGTCAGAGGCTCTAGCCCAGGACAGGAGATGCTGGAATTTTATCTTGAAGAATGGGATTTTCCTTTCCTGAATCATATTTACCAGTCACTGCGTAGTTGAAACAATGAGTATCTTACCAAAGGAAGTGAAACAGTACTTTCAGGAAAGTGCACTGTAAACAGAGGCCAGAATTTTTGTCACCATCATCAGTTTAAATCAGTAAATGATTCTTTATCTGTGGCACGTACCTTTACTGCATAATAATGGACTCCGTAGGTTGGGAGGGATTCTACAATACTCATGTAACTGCAGAATGAAACATAAGAAGAATAACAAGGCTAAGGAGTGGAATTCTCCTGAAAAAGCATCTGCTTAAAAACAAAGTTACTAGGCAGGAGATTGGAGACACAGTTATGCGCAGAATTTACAGTCCCGTGTAGAATATCTCCTAGCAAACAAAGGCCACTCCTCAGTACTGTCCTTCACAACTTACTTTACAATCGCTTGGCCTCTTGTCTGACCATTCAGTTTCTTGTAATGCTCGATGACTCTGTCCTCGCTGTGAAGGGAGACATAGACTCTGGTTAGTTTTATCTCAGCTCTGCAATCAGGGAAGATTTCAGTAAGTGAACAGGCATTTCTGTTACCAATGGCTACCAGCCCAGGAAATGGAGAAGGGTGTCTAACAGAGACTACCCAGGCAGAATGAGACTCTATTCAGCCCCAGAGAAAAGGAAGCCAATGCAGAATATAAGATGGGATTTTAAGGGGAAAGGGTTCTGAACAGTGCTAGTTTGAAGGGAAACTGGGATCTATTTCTGTGACATTCTTCTCAGTGACTCAGCCTCCTCACCTATAAAGTGGGTCTAATCTCACTTACCTACCCTACACAGGTATTGTGAGGTTGGATTCACTTATATTTGCAAAGTGGGTTTTGTTTTATTTTCAAGAATGAAAGCTTTGCTTCAGTATCTCCTTTGCAGGCCTGAAGGAGCCACTGATCCTGATGGCAGGCTGGGTCCTGAGCCTTCAGAAGCAAGGCTCAGTCCTGACTGCTACTGCACAGTGAGGAAAACCATACCCAGAGTTGGCTTCACTTGAGGCTTATTATTATCTAAGGCCAATTTCTTAGCACCCACAACACTGCAGAGTAAGCCAGCCGTGACTTCCATCCTTAACTGCCCACATTCTCCCCCAACTAGTGAAGCTGATAATGAAAGTCATGGAACCTATAAGCCACACTCTTGAGGGCACAAAAGGGCAAATTATAGACCAGCTTGAGACCTCGTTGACATGGGTCTCTTTTGATTTCGATGAAGTCACTCCTGATTTACACCCAATTCGCCTTGCCAGCTGGTTTTAAAGCCGTGTAGCACCAGCCTGGTTTTCTCGCCTACATCACTGTAAATCAGGAATAACATCAAAGAAATCAATTGAGTTACACCAGTGTAAACCAGCCTGAAAGGAGAATCAGATCCTCAGGTGCAAAATAGCCTCTCCTGGTCATTGTGCCTTTTCACTAAGGATGGAGATTCTCTGCTGTGCTTCTGGTATGTCGACACTGCAGTTAGACACCCAGAGCTGGCTCCTGTCAACTGTCTCCTGGCTGCTGGTTCACCTTGTAGGGTCCTAGCGCCTGGGCTCCAACCTGAGCCCAAATGTCGATACCAGAAATAAACAGGTCTGTGGGCCCAAGTCAGCTGGGACAGGCCAAATGTTGGGGTTTAACTGCAGTGCTGACATTCTCCCAGGCACAGCACCGAACTTACAACCCAAGGGAAGGCTAATGTGCCTTTCCGCCAGGGGTGTGCCTTCCCAGTCCTGAGCTGAGCTTGGGGCTGCATAAGTCCCTGGCATAATTCAGCCAGGCCTGGAGGCCTACGTTACAGCAGCCTCGCTACAGGCCACAGCACTGTCTGGATACTCTGCAGAGCTGCATATTGCAGTCCTGTCCCCAGCACGCCTCCATCTTGGGCTTGAAATCAAGCCATCAGGATGCATCCTTAGGGCTGTGTACCTCTGCCTTAGTTGCCATCTTTTTTTCTAATTGCTGGGAACTGGACCATGTAGGCCCAACTTGCTGCCTAGCCTCTTCCCTCCAAGTCCTTGCCTTTAACTAGAACAACAGCCCTACTCCTTTTCCCAAGGTTCCACCGTAGCCCCGCCCCTTTCCACAAGGCTCCACCCATTTTCCTATGGTGCTGCTCCACCTCTTCCCCTGAGGTCCCACCCTTTCCTCCACCTCTGCCCCAAGCTCTATTCCCTTCTCTGCTTTTCTCCCACCAAGGCCCCACCTCTTTCCCCAAGGTCCCCTTCCCCTTTGCCTCTTCCCCCAAGGCACAGTCCCCTCACTAGGGTTGCCAGGTGTCCAGTATTGGCCCGGACAGTCCAGTATTTGTGGCCTCTGTCCGGTAAAAAAACCAGAAAATACTGGACAGCGCTGGGAATGCCTGGCTCAGAGGGAGGGGGGAGTGCACTGGGATGGGGGATTCTGGGGGGGGGCTGGGTCTGAGGCAGGGGTGACGGCTCTGGGGGAGGGGTGAGTGCACTGGGATAGGGGTGCTGAGTGTGGGGCTATTTATTTATTTATTTTTTTGCTTAGCAACTTTGGTCTCCCCCCCCCTCTTTTTTTTTTGCAACAGAATTTTTTCCCAGTGCTTTTTTGGGGGGGAGGGGGGAAGAGGGAGGTGGTGTTCAGTATTTTTTGTTAAGCCATCTGGCAACCCTACCCTTCACTCCTCTCTCCCCCTACCTCCAATGCTTGCTGGATCATTTCAAGGAGCCTACTTGCAGATTGGTTCTGGCTGAGTGGGGGCTATTGTGGGTTAATGACTCCCCCTGACATACGGTAACTTGGTTTTTGGTTCAGGTGGAATTTAGGGTTGCCAGGTCCAGTTTTAGATTGGACTTTCTGGTTGAAAACTGGACATGTCTGGGTAAAACCTGGACTGTCTGGATAAACACGCAGATGGGTGACAACACTAAAGCTTGCTCTGAGGGAATCTTCCCCCAAGCAGGAACTGAAGGCCCCTTTTGAGGTCCCTTTATGCTTCCCCTGTCCTTTTATATGATGTAAAGGGCCAAGGTAGGGTGGGGTCAGAGATGATCTCACCCCAACTGCTTAGGGACCCCGGTCCTGGAGGCTTTGTGAAAATCTTTGCAAAACATGTCACTTAACAACCGTTCTGCGTACATAACAGTATCTTCTCTCTGTTCCTTCCCCTTGTATTTACTACTATGTTAGAGCCATGAGCATGGAGACAGGATCTTTGTTGCAAAGGCGCTTGTCTATCCCTGCTGCGTAAAGTTCAGCTGAAATCATAACCCTATCTGCAAGATCCCAACTAGCTGCCATGCAAAGGACAGGTCACTGTGACTTCTTAAACAGGAGGGGAATCAGAAGCTGGATGGAAGGGGAGAAAATCCTGTTTTCACGCAAACCATCTCTAATTTGCTCATCCCTTTTAGAGAACTTGGAGAAGGAGGGTTCCCCTCAGGCCAGCACACCCAGAATCCTAAGGCAGGCTCCTGAATCAGTAATCTGGGATGGCCGATGTAGTAAGTGACTATGTAACTGGCTCTTTGGCATAACAGAACATTTCATAAAATAATCCAAAGGGAAGGTGGGAAAACAAACGCTAACAAGCAGACAACGGGGGAGTAGGAATAGGATCACTTCTAAGGAGAAGGTTTTTCAAGTTGGCTTCACTTAAACATCCCTGCCATTGTGTGTGCAAGTGACATACTCCCCTCATTTATTCCCTTAGGCTAGGTCTATCCTGACGCTTTCATCGCTAAAGCTTTTGTTGCTCGGCTGTGTAAAAACACCCTGAGCAACAAAAGCTTTAACTGTGAAAAGTGCCCATGTGGACAGCACTTAATCATCGGCAGCTGCGCTCCCATCAACGAAACTACCGCCCCTCATTGGAGGTGGTTTTATTTTGTGGCTGAGAGAGCTCCCTCCCGGCGACAAAAAGCAGCCACCCAGCACACGTTCCAATGAAGCGGCCGTAAGATGCCCCCATGCAGACGTAGCCTTAGAAGTGATTCCCCAGCTAATCCTGGCCAAAATGGTAACATAAAAAAAAAGCCTGTAAATGTTAGTGAACCAATGGGCACAAGGGAGGTGGTGTGAGAATTCGGGCTCTAGCCCCACCCCAAACATCTACACTGTTCTTTTTAGCCCGGTCCTCACCCCTGCTAGCCCAAATTGGCAGACTTGAGCCCTGAGATATGGGGCTGTGGTTTTTTTACTGTTTTGTAGACACAGACTATGTGTCGCCTGGGCATACTACTTACAGTAAAAGGGGCTGTTCGCTCTCCTGAGAAACATCACAGAATATGTCACTTACAGAAAGTGAAGGTCTTAGATTCAATAATGTTAGAGCCAAATTCTGGCCTTCCATTCGTGCAAGTGGCCCCTACTGAAATCATGTGTGTCCTCTGAAGGCAGGATCTGGCCCTTACAATTAACATTTGGAACAATCACTGAATTACAGGACTACACAGATGTTGGATGGTCTCCAGGCTACATCCTTCCCACTGATAAAGAAGAACAAAAAAGACTTACAGTCCTTTGAAATGTCCTTCTCAGCCCAGTATTACTTAGGGGCCAGATCTGCTTCTGTTTCAGATGGCTGCAGTTCAGGAGTCGCTGCCCAGAAATCAATGGAGTTATCCCCAGTGTGTCGCGTGAGAGCAGAACCCACCCCCATGTGTGCTGCTTTGCTCGGGGTTTTGTTCTTTGTAGTTCAAATTCATCCCTGATGTTCACTTTACTCGCTTCACTCCCACGGCTGCGCATCTCCTCCTATCTGTGCAGTGCCTCTGAGCTTTTGTTTGCTTTTGTTTGCTTTTGTTACAAATTATTAAAATACATGAAATAACTGCATGTTTCTTACATCATTTCCCCTTGGGCGTGGAAGCTAATCAATGGCACATTTTGCTCGCAAGCAAAGCCCTGTCTTTACAGAATGTTCTCAGAAGGCCGTGTGGTCCCTGGCTGAGACACTACACTGGAAGTTAAAAGACCTGCATTCTGTTCTTGGCTTTGACTCAGCCTGCTGAGTGAACTCTGCCAAGCCACTTCATCACCCTATGCCTCAGTTTCCCCATCCGTAAAATGAGCCTGCTGTCAAATGCTTGGCAATCTATGGAAGAAATGTGATATATAAGAGTATTAGTCCTCCTTCCTTATTTCCTTCTCTTTTGCACCAGATAATAAAACCTGGATTACACTGACGCCATGAAAGCATACTGCCTTACAACCCCCCCTTTTTATATGATGTATTGTTTTGCGTCTTCTTTTTCATTGCCACTGCCACATGCAAGACATCATCTGACACAGAGGCTACATTCTGTCTCCAGTTTTGCTACAAGGGGGTCTCCTCAACACATGCCAATGAAAACAAATAAAGCAATTCACTCAACAGGACAAGCAATAGCAGTGTTTTAGTACAAGTTCTCATCTATCGTTCCAGCTGCTCATCTTTTCGCTGTTACTGACAGCTATACAAGTGCTGGGGCATTGGCTGGGACCACCTGCTGCTGTCATGGTGA